GTTCTCCAACATCGTCTGGCCGGGCTCCCTGCGTAGGAGCACCATGGAGCCTAACAGGGGTAGAAGTGGCTGGAACTTGGCCCGAAACTAGGATGCCCAGTAGTACCCTTATTCCCTTTTTGTAGTCCTAGGTTCCTTATAAAGGTACACAATACCAAAAAGGGAGCCCTTTTCATTCCTAGGCCAGTGGGCATCCAAGTAAACCTCGACTTTCGAATCACATGCAGCTTTAGCTCGTTATTTAAGGTCGACCCTCCCTGGAAATGTTTTTGGGTCTGCAGGAGACTCTGAAGAAAGGGGTGTTATACCTTTGACTTGCTGAAAGGTACCGGCTGTGCGGATTAACTCTTTGGGGTTGATTATTTTCTAACATCTTTGGGTCTATCTGCCTATCAACCTGATTCAGGGACTTACAGCCATGCTTATTAAGTCCTCGGCAAGGAGCTGAATGAGGATGTCAACTGCAGCATACGACCTACCGTCTGAAGATCCCTTTGTATTGTTGTTCGAAAGTAGCTCCTGTCTCGGTTAAATCTCTAGATCATCGAACTTGCTTGCATCAAACAGACCTGTATTGCGGCAGCTGGTCATGCATTACGGTGACTGACGAATCCAGACATGTTCCACCCCAAAGCTTACACCCATCAACCCTGAACACTAGACCCCTACAAGCACCCTCCTATGCGGGCCTCGTCCTTGCGAAGTAGGAGGGCAAAGGACCCTACAAGCCCTTAGGGTTTAGGTAAAAAGGGTTAGCCCGAGGTCTCCTACTAAGGTGACTGAGGAAGGCTCTGCCCTAGAGCTTCGCTGCCGGCATAAACTCCAAGTCCGTGCTCAAACCAGGGTCTTACCCTTATGGAATCCTGACAAGAAATCTCATAAAGCACTCAATAAACCTTCATGGGACCTCGGCCCCAATCCCTGGCAAGTACCCTTAGACACTTAGACGTAAACTGGCTGTTTCCGGTCTTTGCCATCGTTCGTTGTGGATTTGCTAGTCGCTAAGGCCTCTCCCATGTTCCGATGGCAATAGCTAACCATTGATATCGGTTGAGCTAAAGGGCCAAGGGAACTCTCAAAGCCGCTGCTTAGATAGCGTATTCTGACCTGTCGCCTGGTTCTGTGCCTGCTTTGCCAGGGCGCATTGTCGAAACCTTAACCGGAGGTCCTTTGCTACCCTTCTGCGGACCTCTGAGATGCTATTTAGACGAACCGCACCACGGGTGGCCGGAAACTCGGGGGGTCCTCTGAAGCCTCCCTATAGCGCCGGTCTTCTCCAGGCAAAAGGGGTTACTTCTTAAAGGCTACCTTCCTTGGCTTGCGCTTTGCGATTTGCGATGCTGGGGTTGCACAGTCATCTTGCGGGGTTGCAGACGGAACGAAAAGGTGCGTTTGGGTTTTCGGGGTTCAGGGTTTAGGGTTTGCATGGTTTCGGGGTCGTATGGGTTTCTGGTGTGGTTGTTTTGCGCGTTTACGGCGACAGTGCAGGTTTTGCGGTTTGTGAGCCTGTCTTGAATGCTCTTCTAACTTTTCCTGCACACACTACCAGCAGTGAGCTGGGGAGGCACGGACTAAAGAGAGAAAGAGAGAGAGAGAGAGAGAAAGAGAAAGAGAGAGAAAGAGAGAGAGCGGGACGGAGACGACAAATAGTTTAAAGTCGCTGGAACCCGAGACACACCAAAACAGCCCCAGAGACACCGACAGCCTTCGAGGAAGGAACGACCTTCCCTTGCAAAGGGATAGGAAGTATAATCCGATTCGAGCTATTATCATTGAATTTTAGGCTTGAGGCTAGGGTTTAGGCCATAAGGTCACCGAGGGTCGGGTTATATAAGTTCCTGAACCCTGCTTTAACCACGAGCTCCATGATACTAAGCACCAAGAGTTCTGAACAGGGATTAAGGGTTTAGGTTGTCGGTTCTGAATCAACCTCTGTAACTCAATAACGCCCTTGTAAGCCCTGGTAAAAGACTTGAAACCCTACGTTATTTCTTCTGGTCCCGCTACTGTAACCAAACCCTAAGCCTCTGAAGAACTTCGCGTCCAGTTCCACTGACAACGTTCTTGCTGCTGGATCGTCGGCTTAGTGACCATGTGGTAGGTCAGCTGTTGTGCGAAAACTCCAACATAGTTACCTATTACCGACCGTGCAGCAAGACCTCGCCTGGCATGTTCGTACTTGGAGGGTCGGGGGACTTAGTAACTGGTTATTTTAGGGACTTATAACTACCATAACACCAATTAGGGTCCCTTTTAGGGTACTTATAACTCTACTTACTACCTAGTTACTAAGTCCCCCGACCCTCCAAGTAGACCTAAACCCCGATCTCTGAAACCGACTGTAACCCTGAAGATTCACCCACGAAACCCCAACTCCAAACGCTGGACCCCGAAACCCTAACCCCCAAGAAGAAGCTGGCAAACTGCCTTGAAGGTTTCCTAAAAGGGCTCCTATGACAGATCCTTACATGGCTTCTCAGACGGAATCATTAAAGGGTTCCTATAACGGCTCCTTATAAAAGCATCCTTCAACGGGCTCCTTCAGAAAGGTTTAGGTTCTGCCAGGGCTCCTTCTATGGAACTCCTGCAAAGCCGCTCCCTCAGAGGATTCCTTAAAGGAATCCTTCCAAAAAAAGGAAACCTTCAAGGGTTCTTTCACATCTCCTTTTAAGGAAACCTAAAAAAGGAACCTTAGAAGAAACCTGAAAGGACACCTTAAAGGAAAACCTTAAAGAAAAACCTTGAAGGAAACCTTAAAGGAAACCCTCAGGTGGAGGCGGCGCGAGAGCTGGACTCCCAACACCTCGCGAACATCGCGGGGAAACCCTGCCTCCCAAGAGAGGGGCTTTAAGGGCTTGTGGGTCTTACCCTAAACCCTAAACCCCTAAACCATAAACCCAAAGAGAGGGCTTTGAAGGGGTTTTGGGTCTTCAGGCTAAAGTCTAGAGTTTAGGGGGTGCAGAGTTTGAAAAGGGAATGGGTTTGAGGAGGTTTAGGGGTTTCGGGCTTTTAGGGAATTTTAGGCCGTTTAGAGTTTCTGAAGGGATTTGGGTTGAGGGGACTCTGGGGTCAAGGGCTTTTTGGGTTATACAGGGCGTGAGGGTTCTATTCACAAGCCTTATAGGACTTCTATAGGCTTGATGGGTCGCTACATTATTGCTCTACAACGCCCTTCTAGGGCTATGAGTTTGAAGTACTGGTCATACAGGAGTTCGAAGCTTAATTGGGGCTTCAGGTTTAGAGATTGCTGTTTCGGGACTTGCAGGTTGCAGTCTCGGTTGTAGCACGGGGGCTTAGATGTGAAAGTGCTGAGGGTTTAGGTCTTGCAGGACCTCGCACGGGGATCCCGTTCAGGCCGTAGAAGAGGTTGGCAGGTGCGAGGCCGGTTTTTGTCGGACTTCTTTCTCCTGTGTTGTTTGGGTCTGAAAGCGCAAGGATTAGGGTTACTGTGACGGGCCACGGCTTACTTGCATCGGTTAAGTCTTACCATTCAAGGATAGGAAAGGGATGTGCCGTGCTCATGTGTCCATCGACTCATGCCGCAGGGTTTCATGAAATCGGCTTGCAATCGAAAGTAACCCCAGCTTACGGGGCTCGAGTGGCCATAAATGACTGTTTGGGTAGAAGCCGTGCATCGCATATTCGGCTGTCTAGGGTTGTGTTGAAACCGTCAGTCGACTCTGGCTTCGTAAGATCAAGAACTTTACTTAGAGGTTCATGGGACTTAGTAACTACGGTTATAATTGGGGTAACTACACGTATATGTACTTATAATCCCAGTTAGGGTACTTGCAACTGCACATACTTCCTTCCTATGAACTTCCAAGTAGCCAGTAGTGCTACCGTTTGGCCCGATGCTGCTGTGTTTGTCACTTGCCCTGGCCGACTCCCCAGGCCCGGATGCAAAAGCATTATGGCCGTAGGTGCGAGGATGCTTTTGCACGGATAGTGATCTCGCCACAAATACATATATATATATAGATATATATATATATATATACTTATATACACACGCACAGAATCATATACATACAGGCATGCATGCATGTACGTATGTATAAGCACGTGCGTATAGATAGCTGTCTCTATATGCATGCACATACACATACACATACATCTGCACTGATCTACACATATATAAATGTATTAAAATGTTCATGCATGTTGTAATCATATTTACTATGCTGTCTTCATTCATGCGGGATGTGTGTGTGTGTACACATACGTACGCATAGGATGCTTCTGTGGTACTTACCTTCAAACAAGGCCTGGGCGTTTGCAAAAATCTCGCACCGCGACGTCCGGAGCCGAGTACGTGTGCAGTGCAGAATGTGATGGGTTTTGCTTGGCACAAGTCCTGGCATCTTCCGTTTCATCGCGTTCGCTCAAATTTCGTTCATGAATGTCGTGGGTGTTTCTTGGTATTCAACCAAGTAATCTGCTAGGGCTGTTTATCACCCCAAGCCCTAAGCCTCAAGCCTTGAGAGAGTCAAATCCGGAGGAGGGGTCGCCCCTACTGATTCCTTTCCGAACACTCGCACTCTTGAGCATGTGGGGGGTGTAATGGTTTAGGTTTGGGGAACCCGAAGCCAGCAACCCTAAATCGCGGGCCGCACATGCTAGAAGATCTCTCGGGGCCTCAAGGTACGGCTGTATCTGCCCTTCAATATGTCGTTGCAACATCCGGGTGTCGGCGGTGTAGTAGGATTAGTATCACCACAAGCAGGGAAGATCTTCATGGGCGCTCCGTTAAGGCTGTAGGCTTCAGGCGACATTTCTCACAATCTAGGTGGCTGTGTGATCCCAAGCAGGCCTCTAGGGGCTAATGCTTTTGGGGCTTCATGATCCGGGCTTATATGGTTCAGGACGCGGGGTCAGTTCGTTTGAGGGTTAGCAGAGTTGGAAGGGCTTTAAGGGTCTTCAGGATCGTAAGAGTTACAGCTCCATAACGGTTATAAGGTTTATGAGGGGTTAGAGTTTAGCGATTCGGCATCGTACGCTCACACAAACACCTTGCCATTTGCCAGGACGGCCTGTTCTACGTCCTGAGCCGGATGCCCAACAAATGTCTCGCACAGTGGATCTTAAGCTTAGTCGTTTCTCAGTCTATTCCGGGGGTCATACCAAGCAAACTTGTTTGTTATTTATGAATGGTAGTTGTATCTTCGTTTTGTCCGAGAACCAGGCACCGTGAAACACGTCGTTGGTGAAGGGAGTGCAGGCTAATGGCAGTGGGGGCTCACCCCCTTGGGATGTACTGCATTGTTTTACATTCACACTCTGCAGTCAGTTGGGGAGGTTCATACTGCGAGTCTGACTTGGTTTTGGCTCATCAGTCGTTGTGCGTGAGGCACCAAGTTTAGCTGCTCAGATCGAGAAGCCACGGGCAGAGTTTGAATTAAAAGGGCATAGGCTAGGGAACTGCCGCCCCTGTTGACAGACTCTTTAGCCACGTTTTGCTGGAAGCTGAGGCTTGGCGATTCTCGGGTTCTTCCATTACGAAGTGTTAAATTGTCTTGCCGCTGTCTGTCGCATAGCAGCACTGCTTGCATCAGCAAGGCGCTCATCCAGCTTAGATGTGTTTATATGTCCAAACTCTTTGGCCCCACGAGGTGTATGGTGCGGGAGTTAAGTTTAAGGCCAGTGCAGGGTTTACAAGTCGTGCCCCAAGCAACCTACCTTTATATACGGACCTATACACCATAGTCTCCTTAGGATTTTTGGTGTTTTCGTTCATGTAAAACTCAACAGAAGATCAAAAATATTAATTTTAGCATGGTTCTAAGGGGGGATGAAGACAAGGCAACCATAGGAAGAGCCCTAAAGCAGGTCGGCTATATGGGTTCCTCGAAGCATCAACTTACCCTGGAGCTCCAGGTTAGTTAAATAGTAAGTAGGGTACTAAACACAGACAGATCTTGGCAACCCAGTCACCCATGAATTGTGTAATTCAAGCCGCAGGGGACAGGTTCCCCAGCTATCCCAAACCCCCACTCGTAACAAGAAGTGCGTCGTTTGCCCCCAAACCCTAGACCCTGAACCTGGGACCTGATCAGCTCGGGTCGGAACGAGTTCCCTGCGGTGGGACACTGTCAGCAGGGCGGGTGGCAACAATCCCTTAACCTCGAACCTCATGCCTCGCCCGGACTGTCCGAGTGTGCGCGCCGAAACCCCTAAACAACTAAACCCTAAGCCCCTAAACCTCCAAATCCCCAGACCCTACGTAAACCCCCAAACCCCACAAGAAGAGCATCGTTACCGTTTGCTTTGGGGGGCTTGCCGTTGCTGCGGCCGAGGTCGTGAGGCGATGGAGCCGGAACGGCGATGTAGCATGGAGCCCAACGGGCTCCATGCATTTCTTTATATTGTGTATGAATGTATGTATGTATGTACGTATGTAGATATATACGTGGATGTTTATGTGTATATATACATATCTCTGTATATATGCATATATTACAATCTGTATCTATCTCTATATATATATGTATATATTTCCGGGATTTCCGATGCCTTCAGTGGTGTACGCGGCCTAATTAGGGATGCACAGGACTCCTCAAAGGCGCAAAAGGTGCAGCCAGAGGAGAACGCCAGAAGGATTCAGGAGCCTGTACTTCCGACACCCGCCCCTGTAGGACTAGGTCCCAGAGCTCCTGAATTTCCTTCGGAAGACTTGCCAAGACTGCTGTGATCGTGGCAGAAAGTTGGCAGCCGTCACTGAAGGCAGGCTTTTCTGCTTCCCAGCCTGGCCCCAGGAGTACAAACGGCTGTGCACGGGTCCCACGATTCTTCAGCAGTTGACGATGGAGGGACTTCCAGTTGTCACTGGCGAACTCCCTGAAGGAAACAGTCTCGCCGACCTCATCTTCAGGTAGCTTCTCAACATAGTGAGGCAACTCCTGGATTTCCGTCAGAACATCAATGATGAGGTCACCAATGCCAACATCCCACGGATCACAAGGATCGTCACGTTGTAGCATAGCGACCTCCTCGCTGACATAGTTGAGGACGTCGTTCTCTTCTGTGCGGTAGAGCGGGAAGCGGCACAAAACCTCCTCAATCTCGCACCGCAAACTTGAACGAGAGTCCCATCGCCTACGTTCGAACAGCAGGTAGCAGAGGTCAGCATACATCACGAGCTGACGGTCGTCCCAAAGTCCACCTGACCACGGCTGTAGCGGTGCCTGAACTTGCTCAGGAAGGGCAAGGCAAAATTCCTCATCAGATCGACGCTTCCATGCCTTGCTTCCAAAGCCCGGCTGGATAACACAAGCCCCCAGCCCATGGTGTCTGAGGACCGTGACACACGTGGGACTGTCCCGGAGGTGTACCGCCAATCTCGCCTGAGACCAATACTGCTTGCCACAGGCTCGACACATCGTACCGCTGACACATCCACGGAACTGGGCCTTCCTGGCGTGCACCTTGAACATGTGTGCCCCCATTCCAGCCTTGCTTTTGAAGCCCTGGCCGCATGGTCGGCAGTACCACGGTGCCTCAACCCATTCGAGCCGGGGCTGATTTTGGACCGCCCGCCGAAACATAGCCCAGAGGCCCAGCTGCACGAGTTCGCCATGGGCAACTTTCTCATGGTGTCGCTGCAGGGCCTTCTTCACTCGGGCCTTGAAGGCTCCAGGGCTGTCCTTGATAAGGTGCCACCATTGCGGCCAGTGGGAAGGCCCCAATTCCGGCCAGTCACCAGCATACTGAACAACAAGCTGCAGGTCCTGCCGTACTGCTTGCAACCAGGTTTGCTCCGACTGAAGTACCGCCCAAACATGCGGCGGGTTCACTTTCACAAGGGAGCAGAGGAAACCGAGCCGCGCCTTGATCGCCTCCGTCTCCAGTCGCCAGCAACGGGTGAGGGCATGGACAAGAGGCGTAGAGAGGCGGAGGACGTCCTTCGCTCCAAACTGTGGTTGTAGTAGTCGTCGCAACAGGCGTGAGTAGCCGTCACAAAGCCGTGTCCATTGATCTCCTCTCGGTTCCCAGACACACAAATTAAAGAACGTCGGGAGGATGGCAGCCTCAAAGAGCTTCGCCCGAACCTCCAAGGGCACCGTGGGGTTCTGGTAGAGGAGGAGTTTGCCGGCATCGAAGGAACCCCTCGCAATCGCCAATCTCCGTCGAGTCTCATCTTTCATGGTCATACCAGCATCCAACACACCTCCAAGGTGCGTGTAGCTGGGGACCACCGGAATGCGGATGTCCAGGTCGGGCAAGTACAGGTCCCGCCCCCCAGGCTCGAAGTGGGCCGCCTTCGCTTTGCGTACTCCAGCACCTTGGAGGGAAATCAAGTAGCTCGTTTTCCCTCGTCGCGTGTTCGGATCCATCCCGTAGGATCGGCAATGACTCAGGATGAGCGAGCCAAGCCGTTTTGCCTTTCTCAGGAGGGCACCCGGGTCACGATCCGACATAGGGAAAGCCGAATCATGGGCCCAGGTCGTGTCAGTGGCCTCATATTCGACACCACAGTGCGGCTGCCCATAGATGCCAGTCTCCTCCTCGTAGTGGTGGACCGTCAACAGGTCCTCTGCCGTGGCAATTTCAGCAACCCGACAAAGGACTCTCGAATAGACATAGCCAAACAGGACGTCCGCCCAGGACTCGCCTGGGCGTGATCCAGCAAGCGTGGCACTGAGCTTATCCCCGCTGCTTTGGGCACTGACAAACCACGTCCTTCGATGGAAGTCGGCCACCGCGGCACAGATTGCCGGACTAACGCCAGAGTCGCGGATTGCTCCTCCACTGGCAACCGCTTCCAAGAGTTCTCGAGCCTCCTCGCCATCGATATCGAAGCGACGAAAGATTCGCAGGATGTTGCCGTCCTGTGTCAAGTCGCCAGTGGCGAGTTCCCGGATGACTCGATAGTACGCCGAGCGCATGTCGAGGAACAATGTGCAGGCGGAGATCCCCGCCTTCTTGCAGTACCGCATGTGGCTGGCGATGTACTGAGCTCCAAAAGTCACTGGGGCTCCTTTCTTCATTCCAAAGTGGATATCGTGGAGCACTTCGCCAAAGCAGCCCTGTGCCTTATCACGCAGGGCCCGATGCAGGGTCTTGCCCAGAAGGCTGCTCACAAACAGCGAGCGATGGTTGGAGGGATTTTCGATCGGGCCAGATTGCTTCCAGGCCGAATGCAGTATTCCTCCTCGCCATTGAAGAGGTTGAGTGAACGTCACCAACGCCTTCATAAACAATGGCAGGACTGCTTTGGCTGCCCCGATCGGGGCTCCTCGAAGTAGCTCTCCAGGAATGGCGTCAAGCCCTGGCGATTTACCGGCTTGAGTCCGCCTCATCAAGCCTTCGATCTCCACCAAATTTGGCAGCTCGTGAGGTTGCCAGGTGGCTTCAATCGGCACAGCGGGGCTGCAAGGGCATTCCCGAAGAAAGTCCTTGACCGACATGGTGGTGCCCATCTCCATCTCTCCGAAATGCTGCAGCCATACATCATCCCTTTCAGTCCTCGTTGTGGCTGGGCGGCCATCTGGTCCCAAAAGTTTGGGAATCGGTTTGAAGGCCTTCCCCGGTCGTCTTCCTCCGACTCCCGCCTGCTTTGCCCTCTGGAGAATCTGCGAGGCCGTTTTGCCAGTGCCAGCCAAGGTCCGCAGGAACTCCGCCTTGGCTTCCCGGATACCAATCTTGATTCTCCGAGTGGCAATCCCAACCGCCGCGGCCGCGAGCTGGTACAGGAGGCTGTCCTTGTGGACAGTGGCAGCATGTCGTCGGGCTGCATCTCGCCACATGTCGACTGCATGCCGTACTTGGTGTCGGAGCATGTGCCTTCGGCCTTCCGTTCGTCGCTTGAAACTGATCTTCCGCTCACGAAGCTCCCACACCCAGGCCGGAATGTAGGAGGCCCTCGGCCCATGGGGGTTGACGGCAAAGTGGGTATCCATCACTTCGTGAAGGAAGTTCTGTAGATGTTGGCAATGCTGGTCAACGTGTAGGGTCCAGGGGGGCGGGCAGTACTTTGCCAGCTCTTGTTCCAAGATGGCCTTGCCCTCATCCGTGGCCATTTTCAGCCGATCATACTTTGGGCGCCAAAGCTTGGCTGCCCCACCTACTGGGCCACACTTACCCACAAAAGCGACCTGGGAAAGGAAATGGTCCTCATGTGCTCCAGCTGTGTCCAAATCGTAGTTCACAGCACTGGAGACCTCTGAGCAGGTGGCAGATCCCCCTATACAAAGGAAATCAATGCGATGGAGATGTCCCAGAGGGTGTCGATACGTAGCGCACGGTCCGGAGTGGTAGGCGCTGAATGTTGCCGGGATCCACATTCCCAGCTCATCAAGCATTTGCACCGCATGTTTGCCTGCCTCATCCGGTTCCCCGAAGACAAGATCTCCGGTGACTTGTTCGTAGGACTCCGGCGGTCGGCCGTTCAGGTCGATACCGACCAGAAGTAAGTTCGCCTTGGCGAGAGGGGCAAGCACTTTGTGGAGCCTACGAAGAAACTCATGGCGTTCTTTGGGCCGTCCAGAGTGAGGGCAATGTCCAGAGGCTGCTACACAGTGAAAGTTCGCAATCTTGATCGAGAGGACTAAGAGTCTCTCATCACTGTGCACAATGTGCATATCCTCTTCCGCGACCATGCATGGTTTGCCATCACGGGTGAAGGGACCCAAGTGTCGATGGATCCAAATCGCCGTGCCCCAGTGGCTCTTTGCATCAGAGCCCACACGCCAATAATTTGCTGATCTGCAGAAGCCGCCCTTCTCCTTGGTTTCCTGTAGGAGGATGATCTGGTAGCCAGCTTCCTGGAATTGCGCTTCAAGGTAGGCATGCTTTTGCAGCATCCCCTGCACATTCAGGGTCGCTGCTCTCACCCTGAAGCTAAAGTGATCTTGCTGTCTCCCCGGCCAGACCGGCACCGTGGGGACTAGCTGTTCCGGCGTGAGCGGGCTAGGTCGGGCCTGCTCTTCGACAGTCCAGGTCAGAGTCTGACCATTCCAGATCGGTAGGCTGCTGGCGAGGGTGCCCGGGGTCGCCGCTGCCAACCAGCTCATGTCCATGGTGAAGAAGGTGCTTGCACATACCTTTGGTGGGCCAGCCGGTCCAAAGTCACCTCGAGCAGCTGCCTTAGCAACTGCATCGGCCATCTCATTCCAAGGGTCGCCCTGGTGGGCCTTGGTGTGGCGGAAGCGGACCCCACAAGGTAATAGGAGATCGACGAACATAGCGAGCTGGCGAAGGCGGGCTCCGAAGCTATTGCTGGTACTCCATTTGCCACTGGCCCCCCAGCCTGCCGACATGTTGTCGAAGTAGACAGTAGCTGCCGTCAGCTGGATGACATGTCGACTCTGGCACAGCCAAAGCAGAACCGCGGCGATGGCTGCTTGTTCCGCCTGCATCACCGGTGGGGCGTCAAACTGCCAGCTCGTGGTCAGGTCGCCGATGATAGGCTCTCCCAACAGCCCAAAGAGGGCTTTCTTCGCCCCATTGAGCAAAAGGATCACAGCACCATATCCGCTCAACTGGGACTTTTCCAGGTAGGATCCGTCCGTGTACATGTGCACCTCAAAGTGCGGTTCCTCCTTTTCATCAAGAAGGTCGCTCCAGTGCTGTAGGTCCGCGAAGGCTGCCGCCGTCTCCTTCGGTATTGTCAAACCACTCGTAGTAGTGACAATCCAGTCCGGCGGCCACGGCGCTAAGAGGGCCCCAATTTCCTCTCGGCTGTGAGGCAGTCTCATCGTTTCCCTGGTGAGGTCAAACTCCGGAGGGGTAACCAAGGCCGCAAGTAGGAGCGGTGCAGCATAGGCCCTACCTGTCGACGGTCTGTGGCGCCGTCGATCTTCGCCACCTTCGGGGGTGGCCTCCGTTCTTCGCGGGGAGCGGCTGCGGTCTGGGTCTGGCTCTGCATCGGGTTGCCTGTCCAGGCCATCGTCGGATCCACCGGTATCGTGGCCTTCACCCGCGTCAGGCATGTCTTCATCACCCCCTGACTCGCTGTCGCTCTCTTGGCCCTCGTCATTGGACTCCTCATTCTCACTTTCAGTGGGGGTGATGTCTTCAGTGAGTCTCAACTCTACTGACAGCAGCTCACCTCGCTGTACCTCAAGTTCCAGCCCGTTTCCTGTACGACGTCCTCCCCTGATGACAACTGACCAGCCAGGGTGGTACTCGAGCTGGAGTGAGTCCAGGTACGGCATCGGGTCGAACAACGGTGATTCCAGACATAGCCATTGCACCCACATCCCAACTCCTCGGAGGTCCAGGAAGATGAGGGTTGATTGCTCGCGGGGGTGTTGTTCCTTGACCACAACAGCCAGCAAGGACCGTACCCTCCTCGTTTTTTCCATAAGGAACAGCGGGCGGTCCGTTGGTGCCAAGATCCATATGTCCTCTGGCTGCTGGTCACACACATCAGCACAGATTTGAAGCGGCGTCCTCGGATCTCGTCTGTTCACTGGGTTGATGACGTGGGCATAGGCCGTCTGGAAAGCCAGAAAATGTCCGACTCGGTCTCGGGCCGCCATTGTGTGGGGTCATCAAGGCGGTGTCGCAGGTCGCCCCCCCAGTCAACCGCCGAGCCCCTCTTCATGACCTTGAGGAGGCCTCCATGGAAAGGCCGTCTGGTAGCCCCTTCCTCGATCGGATTGAGATCCCCAAAGGCAAATACCTCAACTGGCTCCCTCCACGAAATATCAACGTGTCGCAGAATTGCCCGCCGGCTGACAGGCCCCTCATGGTAGAAGGGAAACATGCCTTTGTCGAGGTCCGTGAGGTCTACTACCAGGACAACACGGTCCGAAAGCAGCATCCACGGAGGTATCAAGACAAAGCCTGCGAAGTCGGCTGAGGGTTGAGGCCATATGTTCTGACAGTGCGACAGCCAACGAGGGAAGTGGGATGCCTCTTGTACGGCCAAGGCCTGTAGTCGTTCCATGTCAATCGGGAAGGGCACCGCGATGTCAATCATCTCCGGCTCGAAGTGGACCGCAGACACCCATAGAGAGATGTGGACGGCACGAGGGAGAGGTTCCGGTGGATCCGGAGGCGGCACATAAAAGTCCGGAGGTGGGGCTTCACCGGCAGAGTGCCCCAAGCCCTGCTCAAGGACAAAGTGCTGCCAGTTGTCTTGGAGCTGTTCCTCCCGGCTGCGGGGATCCGCAGCAAAGATGGTCTCCGTGAGCCTACGTAGTGGGGGAAGAGGCGGTGGAGCTGGGACGCCAACAGCCTGACATCGGACAACAGCGAAGGCCAGGCAAGCCCTGTGTGGGCGAAGCCCTCGCTTGCCTGTTGCACTGCCAAGAGTAAGGCAGAGAGCTCCCAGCCAAACCATAGCAAGTGCAGAAATGATTCCTCTCGCCCAATCCTGAAGTCCATGCAGTTGGTCTCTCAGAAAAGTGCCCAGGAGCTCGCGGATCATCTTCACGTAGTCGAGGAGGTCAAAGTAGCGGTAGCCGACCGCCATGGAAAAAGTCGAGGGGGTAACCTCGTTATAATTCTCGACCTCCCCAATGATCGCGTCCAAGTCATAGGATTTGGCGGACTGACCGAAAAAGCCGCCCAAAATTGCAATTTCCCCACTGTCCATATTCTCCCCGGGAATATAGGTTGGCCGCCAGGATCGTCAGGGAGTTCACCAGGGCGTTCGTTCCCTAGTCCATCTCCTTGTTGAGGCCATCCGTTGTCAGGTCCTCGTCTTCTTCGTCGTCGAGCTCGACCACCGGTACCGTTCCGAGTCGGGCTCGACGTTGCTCGAGCTTGTCCGACAGCGGGGTCCCCCCAAGCTGTGGTGGGGCCGGAGCTCGTCCCTGGCTCTTCACAGCCTGGCGTGGTGTCCTGCCGCCAGTCTTGTGCTTGTCCTTGGTCTCCACCGGCATGCCCGATCTCGTCGAAGGCGAGGTGATGAAGGGAGGGGCATTGGGTGTGCCCGCATGGTAAGCACCTTCGTCCGGCATCCCTGCGGCCGGCACCGTCTTGACCGCCTTGCTCACGGCCGGCGGGGTGCCCGTCTCCATTGTCCTCTCTCGTCTCGGCGGGGTGGTCACCTGACGACCAGCCTGGTGCTTGGCAATCAAGTTGGCCAATCTGGTCCTCGTCGCCTTCGGCAGAGAAGTAGTGCCTGCTAATGCTTCGTCCAGCAGGCTCGAGACACCCATGTCCGCATCGTTGTCCTCGGCCATCAGCTCGTTCCAAGCCTGGATCGTCTCGGGCGGGAGCTCGTCGACGTTCTTGACCTCGGCCTTCTGGGTCTCGTCGGCTGCCAGGGCTTGCTGCAGGTCCGTCAGGGCCTCCGTCAGGCTGTCCTGCTGCTCGTCGTACTCCTGGCGAAGCTTGGCCATCTTGTCCATGTATCGTCTTTGTTCTTTTGCGAACGTCTGCTTGATCTCGATCTCGTACTGCTTCCATTTTCCTTGCAGGTCGTTCAGGTCCTCTTTGGATCGACGAACTTTTGCCTCGCTTCGTCGAACCGTGTTGACCAGTTTCTGAACAGATCGGATCAGAGCCCCAGCACCCTGGGGCTGCTCCTCTTCCTCCACTCTCTGGCGTCCAGGAGGCCGTTCGTCCTTCTTCTTGATCTTGTCCTGCATCTGCTCGAAGGAGGGGAAAGCGGTCTTCTCCTGCCCTTTGCCCTTGGCTTTGGGTTGTTGCCGCGCCTGGCCGTGGTGACCACCATGTCGCTCCCAACGCCCAGAGGCCGGGTATTGCCCATAGTCGTCCCAGTCTTGCCAGTCCTTGGACTCTTGCCATTTTCGCTCACCTCGGCCCATGGAGATGCCGAGCTCGCGGTACTGGGGCCTGCTGTGATGCAGGCTGAGGCGAAGTAGGTCCCGAGGACGCGGGAGTCGGTGGCCACTGCGCGCAAGCCAAACGCGGCCGCGGGCTTTGGACCTGAGGCGACGAGCTCGCCTGTGCCACGAGGGTGAGGCCGGAATCCCTGGCGGCAAAGCGAGTCTTAGCTCGCAGTCGTGTCACTTGGACACCTGGGGGCGCTAGCTATCTCTCGCTGTTGAGAGTCTTCTGAGCCCCTATATGTATATATACATACATATATATATATATATATACAGAGGGAGAGAGAGCGAGAGAGAAAGAGAGGGAGCCTTATGCTTACATTTGTTTGAAGGGTCGAGGAATCGGCAATAATGTCCCTGGCGATACACAGATGTAGGTAGAGCCCAAAATTCTACTTAACCCAAGCATTAAGCCCCCTTGAATTGTAGAACCCTGGCCTCTGTCATGGGATAACTCCCTGGCTCCTAGCAGGGATGTGGCAAGGGATCTCCGGTCGTTCAGGGTTTAAGTTTAGGGTTTTTAGCTGGACAACGAGGCCTGCTGCAAAAAGGGTTTAAAGTTTCAGGGGCAGTTTGAGGGTTCAGGGTCTAAGGTCCTTTTTGCATTCCCTAGGACCCATTGACCAAAACGTGCCATTGGCACTCCCGCTTTTGGATGCCATGACATGCCATGGTAGACTGAACTGAGAACCGAGGAGATAAGGGCTAGTCGTGTCGATTCGGTCTCCGGGTCTTTCCAGGTCTTAGGCAAGCAGAAGTGATCTCTGGATTCTAATTACTGTGCAGCCTTCTGTGGCCCTGGGCAAGCAGGCTAGTCGAGACATGCTGCGATGGACATCCCAGGCACGTCCATCGCTCTATCAGCTACTGGGTGTGTGTTTGCTCTTCTATGGCCGGGCAGCCTAAGCCGTGAACCGCCGATCCTCGATTCGGGCTAGTTGCTTGAGCACAGGCCTAAACCCCTAAATCATCAGGGCCTTGAAGCCCCCAACGGGCGTGTTTGTTGGAACAGTGGGGATAATAGTGCAAGCTGCAGGCGGGAACCGAAAGCACTGAAGCCTTGCTGCCACCTTTGTGTCGGTAAATATCGGGCCTCAAAGGGGCTTCTTTAAAGGAAGCCTCAAAAGAACCCCTCAAGAAACCCTTATGGCACCCTTGCAGGCCTGAGGGTACTACAGGCGTGAAAATAAGCATGGCAGCAATCGGGTTTTGCCGTCAGAGTGCGAAACCTGTGCTGAGGTCCTTTAAACTTGGCGAACTTGGCTTGAGTCTCGGTGCCAGAGGCTTCGGGGTATTTGAGTTTGGAAGCTTCAGAGTGTAAAAGCTGGGAACCCAATAGCCTCAATCCTTAAAGAGTAATGCAATAGGGAATCCCAGCACCATTTTTGGCCTTAATCCGGTTTCCAACTTCATGGGGTTCACTGTATGCAATGGTAACATACATGAATATTTTGTATAGTTAGACCACGAACAAAACTAGAAGGAGACCCAACCGAGGTACGCCTAATAATCAGATACCCCCATTCAGGGCCGCAGTGACTGATGCCGAGGATGTCCCGAAGTCCCACGTTCCGGGTCCCGTGGTAGGCTGCCCGTACAGCCCAACGCCTCGACATGAAGCGGATTTTTGAGTTCTCGTGTCTTGGGAAAAGCCCAGAACACACACACACGAAACACCCCCAAGGAGCCCCATATATGTCAACCAAACCCCGCAACAGCGGCAACACAAACCCCACCAACATCCTTGTAGAACCCATATAGTGACCCTTATGGTAGCCCTTTTCGCAACCGACAAGGTCCCGAATTTAAAGGCCCACTTCATAACGTGTGTTCAGGTTTCCTGGCCCTATGCAGGGCGCCAGATTTGTCTTGTTGTTGAAAATGTGGATGTGAATTGGTCGGGTTTGCGAACCGAAATGGCGAAAGACTTAGAGATGCTCCTAACTTACCAAGAGCCAAGACCCCTTACCTCATTCGCGCGCCCGGCAGCCGCAGTTTTTCCATGGCAAATCAAGAGCAGAAGCCAGAGCAGAAGCCCCCACATGAGACACACACGCACACGCAGTCAGCATTCAGAATGCTTATTACTAGTGACCATTGCGTTGTGCCAGGGTCGGCGATGCACTCGTTTGGGCAGGAGGCCCACAGAAGCCGGCATCAACTCTCCTCTGACCACACTCAGCCACTCAAGACCCTCGACTCCCAAGCCATGAGACCCTATTTTAAAGCTATCTCGCACATCCAACCCTTAAGGAGCCCAACTCAGTAGCCCCACAGCCCGAACCTCCCGAAGGCAGCCAACCATCGCAAACCGATTAGCGCAGCTTTTTTGCCTCATGGTGCAGCAGCCCACCACGATGGAATCTCATCCACGCTGATGAATGGGAACCTCGATGGTATCGGAAATTTGCTGTGCGCGTGTTGCGGTATGGTTAAGAGTTTAGGTTAGAATGCACATGTCGCATACTCTTTGGGAGTTTAGAGTGTTGGTAAATAGAGCTCACCACACATCCGCAGACGGCTTTGCCTAAGTCCTAAACCCAAAACCCCTAAACCTTAACTTCGTTCAAGCCAAGGAGCCTCCTTTGGAATGCATCTCACCTGTCCGATGACTCGGTCGCAGCCTGGCCTGAGACACGATCCGGCGTACTTATAGGGCGCTGTTGGTAAAAGCAGAGTGTCGGCATATAGACCGTGGTACATATATCCATATAGATACTCTATATATATATGTG